AAGCAGTCACTTGTCAGCAGTTGGGAGATTGTCCCTGGCCTGCTCGCTGATACTCCAAGCCCATTAGGGATTGCTGGAAGGGTCAAGAAGGGAAGACAGGCATACCACAATCACATGTGAACTGCGTTGGCCTGAAGTATGCTGAGCTTGAACTCCAAAGTGAATTAAGACAAGCCCCTAGGCCAGCCATGGGCAAACTACGGCCCGCGGGCCGGATCCGGCAGTTTGAAATGAATAAAACTATTGAAAAAAAAGACCGTACCCTTTTATGTAATGATGTTTACTTTGAATTTATATTAGTTCACACAAACACTCCATCCATGCTTTTGTTCTGGCCCTCCGGTCCAGTTTAAGTACCCATTGTGGCCCTCGAGTCAAAAAGTTTGCCCACCCCTGCCCTAGAGGGTAAGGGGGAGCAGGGATGCCTCCCCCTATCTTGAAAGCAAATAATTCAAGCAGACCTTCCTGCTCATTCAGGTCTGTGCTGTGAGTGTTGGGCAAAGCACAGGGCCAAGGCCTGTAGAAGGTTCACTCCTGAAACAAGGGGATGTGAGGATCTGCTCCAGTCTCTGCCTTCTGTTCTGACAGGCTGTGTCTAAGCCATACCAGTTGTGAAATACTCTGCATCCTACCCCTGCTTTTATGTGCTCCTTACCCTAAAGCCCCATCACCCTCTCCTGTTCTCTCAGCACACCTCTACACACATCACTCCTAGGGAGGGAGGAAAGCAGGTCTGTCTTTGTTGTCAGCTTTCAAACAGCAAACAAGAAAACCCCAAAGTGCCCCCACCCCACACTATCTCTCTGTTCCCCTTCCTGTCAGAGAGCAGTGCACTGTGGGGCAGCCTCACTCCCAGTGGGACTCATCCTGAGCAAAGTCATCATGTGCCACGTTTTCCTGCTGTGGACCATGCCGGCAACTCTCAACCCCCTACTTATTCCTGCTCTTCCGTTCTTTCCTCGGGTTTGGCATCCTTCCAATCCCACAGGAATTCAACTGATAAATGAATTCATACTCAAAGGTTATTGACTTAATTTGTCACCCCCATCCAGGAGCTATTTGCACTGAAAAGAGATCCACCAGGGAGAGGGCAGTGTTTAACTGCAAAGAATGCCTTTCTAAAGGAGGGGACACGTAAGCAGTGTGTCCTTGGGGCAGCCTCCCTCTGATGACCACCAATATGACACTTTCAGCAAATTCTGGCTGCAGGGAATTCCCAATTTTAGTGTGCACTGGAATGGCCTGCGGCACTTGGGAAAAACTGCAGATTCCTGGACCCCAGATAATTGATTGAGTAGGTCTGGATGGGGCCCAGAAATCAGCATTTTAATCCTCTCATTACTTTCTGATGAAAGTGGTCCATGGATCATATTTTAAAAAGTGGTTGGGTATTAGTTTGCTTGGACTGCCAAAACAAAGTACTACAGAATGGATGGCTTAAACAAAGAAGTTAATTTTCTCACAGTTCTGAAGGCAGGAGTCTAAGATCAAGGTGTGGGCATGTTTTCTTTCTCCTGAGGTCTCTCTCCTTGGTTTGCAGATGGCTGCTTTTCACTGTGTCCTCACATGGTGTTTGTGCACACCCTTGGTGTCTGTCTGTAAGTCCAAATTTTCTCTTCTTATAAGCACAATAGTTATATTGGATGAAGGCCCACCCTAATGGCCTCATTTTAACTTAAACATCTCTTTAAAGACCCTATCTCCAAATACAATCACATTCTGGAGTCCTGGGGGTTAGGGCCTCAACATACAAATTTGGGAAGAAAGGAACAAAAATTCAGTCCATAACAGGCATATATAAAGAACAATAAAAAAGTTAAGGCATTTGTGAAAGAACAGTTACTCTTTTCAATAACTGCAAGAGAAAATATACCCAGATTGAAAGAGAGAGAGCAGAAAGCACTGGGAATCTCCCAGTGAAGGGGAGGCTGCTGTGCCTTGTACAGCGCCCCCTGTTGGCACTGCTGGCTTCTGTTTAGGCAACCACCTTGGCTCACCCTCTAAATTGTCTCTCCTGTTGTTATTACTCCTAAGCTTAGAAACAGCTTTTCTTCTTTAGCAGCTTCATGGGAAAGAACAATCTTTGGCATTGGCACCAGAATGGCTTCCCCAGGCAGCCCTTGCCTCCACCATCCAGGATGTTTCTTTCTCCAGAAAGAAGGGAAGACCCTTCACCCTGGTCATTCATCATCACAATCTAATTACAACCTTGTCTTATAAGAGGAACTCTTTTACAATTGAGATGTCTTCTTATGAAAATGTAAAATCTAGAAATATGTTTTTATGGACAGCTTTTTTTAAAATTAAAAAGGAAATTAATTTCCTTGTACACAGGAAAGACGAGGTCTTGCCAGTTGTACATGGAAAGGGTTCTCTCTCTCTCTCTCTCTCTCTCTCTCTCTCTCCCTCCCTCCCTCTCGCACTCTCTCTCCTTCCCTCCTTCCCCCTCTCCCGCTGTGTGACAGTGAAATGCTAAAATGATTTTGGCAGCAGAATATTTTCAAAGGCTGTTTTTATTTCAGCTGTAGAAGAGTATCTCAGAGTGCAGGCTGCACCTCTGCCCTGTAGGGCTGTTTCTAATTGCAAGAGGTGAGCTGCAGAAATCATTCCCCCAGCCGGGTGGGGAGAAAGCAGCAAGAAACCTAAGGAAGATAATCATGTGTGCCACACTCAGCGCTCACCACTTAAAGGAATTAACTTGTTGGAATAAAATATTTCTATGGGTGCAGAAAACTATGCATTAGAATAATGAGGCTGACCCCTTCCTTACACATTGCAATCACTGGGGTTTGTTTCTTCTCTCTCTAATCACAACATGCTATCTTCCTCCTTGCTCACACCTCTGTAGGCAAGACTGGCTGTGAATACTTTAGATTATCACCTTCTCATTTGCAGTGTGAAATAATTGCCCAAGGATGGAAAATGACAAACAACAGTGTGGATTTCAGAAACCGGCCCACTTGTTATTTAGGATAGCCTAAATAAACTGGAGACAGGTGCATTATATTGCATCAACTTCTTACATTCAGTCCTTAATAACAGTAGGGATACTCGTTTGTTTAATTGCAAACCTAAATGATGCAGTGTAAGAGTATGAGGCTCCGGGGGTAAGTCTTGTGAGTTTTGCTCTCGGCGCCATCCCTTACTGGCTGTGTGGCCTTGGGCAAATTATCTAACTTCTCTGTGCCTCAGTATTTTCATCTATAAAAATAAGACAATAATAATATGCTTTATGGGATGTGAGGGTTGGCTGAATTAGTACCTGTAAAGTGTTGGGAAAAATGATCAAACTATAGTGACCACTCAATAGATATCAGCTATTCTTATTTATGCCCTTGGAAAAGAAAAAGGAGACGCCTTCTTTCTCTTCTTCAGAAATATTTTTAAGCATTGTGTTCAGGGATAAGGAAAAGTAATCAGTTAAGTGCAAAATATTTAATCAACATACTATAATATGAGACAAATTTGAATAAATGCTGAGTAAAGATAATAGTAATAGAGTTTGGGGCCATAAGAAGAGAAACACTTATTTGGAGAAGGAACTGGAAATGATATTGGAGTGTTGTGTTCCCCATATTTTTTTGTCTCTGAAAGACAGAAAAATAGAGACAGACTCATAGAGAGCAGGCAGACAGCTCTAATAGGAAGAGAGTGAAGGGACTGAGTAAAAAAGAAAAAAAGAAGAGAGAGAACTCATGGACATGGACAACAGTGTGGTGATTGCGGGGGGAGGGGGGAATGGAAGTAGAAGAGGGCATAGAGAGGATAAATGGTGATGGAAAAAATAAAGAAAAAAAATTTAATGATGAGTGAAGTCCTATAGTTACCAACTCCAATTTAGCAGAAAGAGCCCCCCTAATTCTGTCCATACAGGGCATTTATTACACCCAGAGAAATCTTTGTAGTCACCACAAAAGTGAAGCTACCTCTGGGGTACCATGCAGCCGCTATTTAACTGTCACGTAACATGACAATCGAGTGTCCTATTAGAGCTAAAATTTAATTGTGAAGACGGGTACCATATTTAACTGCAACCCTGGGGGGAATTTAGGTTGACAGGCTGTAATTACCCAAACTGGAACCTGGCCAGGACACACCTACTCTTTGCCAAAAGAGCTATGGGGGTTTCAACCAGGGCAGGCCTACTAAAACTGCCTTTTTTTCTGGTGAGGAATCAGCACCTGCAGCCCCACAGCGCCCCCTAACAAAGCTCAGGGCCAGTGCAGGCGCTTAAGGGAGCAGGCTTTGCCTGACCCTCCACACTTGCACTTTCTCTCCCTAACCCCTCTCTGTCTCAACCTGGCTCCAATCCATCACGGGTTATCAGAAACTTGCCATTTAAGGTGGCATGGCTGTGGGTCCTGCAGTTAAATTCTTGCTGGGTCTTATCTGTGTCTGTCTGTCTGTCTGTTTGGCCTTCTCTGTGTGTCTCTCCCGGGGTCCTGTTGTTTGTATGGTATCATGATGGAAGTGCTTGTCCTTATAAAATAAAACTGAGCACAGTGGTCCTGATCACCAGCGGCTGTTTCTACATAGAGATCAATTAGAGGCATCTTTTCACTGGGGAAGGAGGCTGGTCTGGCTAAGTTTACTAAAAACTCCATTAGGATTCTTACTGTGAAATGCATTATACTTTGGTCTTCCAATGCTGTTGCTAGGAGAAAAAATAAAAATTGGGCCAAGAAGAGGTGGAAATGTGGTTTGCTGATATCACTGAAGGGTTTAAAGGAAGAAAGTTCTGGGCTGCAATCACCCCGTGTGAATAGATGTGGTCTTAATTTAAGGTTATGGATTTTTTAAAAGCCTTGCTTTTTGTCTTCACAAGTCTTTGCATTCATATCAGTTAAAAAATAATTTAGACAGAAAATAAATGTTGTAGAAAACTCAAATTATTATGTGCATTTTAAATAATCCTGTGTTTTTTGCAGCAGATGTAGCATACGAATAATAACATTAAAAAAGATCATGATAATTTGTCAACTGATGGTCTTTTCCCTCAGACCTTCCAGGATGTTGGTTGCTGGCCCTGCTATTGAACTGAGCCCACGACCTGCCTTTACTCCCTCTGCAGGGTGGTAAGTTAGAAAAGCTTTGTGAACTTGGGCAAGTTGCTTAATATTAAGGATGAAATGGTTTCTAAGGAGCATCAGCAGAGCCACAATGTGCAAGATGATAAGCAATACAGTAATGTCACCTGGGAAGATGTTTCCCCTTTTTTTAAGATAAAAGTTCTGAAAAAATAAATTCAAAATGCAACTTGAACAAAGAAGTTGTTGGACAATGTAAAAGGAGGAAGTTAGATTAAGGCTTTTTAAAAATGTGTGGGATGATTTTCTATTTGGTTTCTAAGGACACACACACACACACACACACACACACACAGATACTTAGATCAGAGGGAAATCCAGCTAAATGCCCACTTTCTGCTTCCCTGGAATCAAGTTTTCACTTCTGTACAAAGGCAACAACAACCTCAGAATATTAGTATGTTTATGTCCAGATACTACCAGTCTAACAATATGTAAGGTTGAGCCATATGAAATTGCTATTTCTATAGGTCAAAAAGAGTTGAATATAGGAAATTTCATATGGTTCAAATTAATATTACATATATGCATATATATGGTATATATATATCATTTATATATTGTATGTCAAAAGGTATATATGTATATATATATATGTGTGTGTGTGTGTGTGTGTGTGTGTGTGTACCTTTTGTTATATAATAATAATACAGTCCAGACAACTGTGATTCCACTTTCTTATTGTTCTAGTAACTATTTCTCAGTGAAAGATTGATGCACCCATCATATTCCTGCCCTGTTACTAAAATGACATAAAAATTATTAAAAGAAGACACTTTGAAATGCCAGGTTCTATTTCTAAACATGAGAACAAGCCCAGATTTGGTCCTATCCTATATAATAAAAGGGTAATATGCAAATTGACCCAAAAGGCAGAATGACCAGAACACTGCTTGACCAGTCACTATGAGGCGCACTGACCACCTCTTGGTCCCTTTCCCCAGCCGGCAGGCTCCCATCGTCCGATGGCAAACGGGGAACCAGGGGTGGGTGGCAGGGGATGCGTAGGTGGTGGGGGATGTGGGCAGCACCAGGCCAAGGCCCCTGCCCCACACATGGAGGGCAACCTGCAGCAGGGGCAGGGCTGGCGAGCCGGTAGGCTCTGATTGCCTGATGGCAAATGGGGAACTGGGGGTGGGTGGCAGCGGGGTCAGAGCCGGCTGTGGGCAGCTGAGAGTAATATGCAAATTGACCCAAAAGGCAGAATGACCAGAACACTGCTTGACCAGTCACTATGAGGCGCACTGACCACCTCTTGGTCCCTTTCCCCAGCCGGCAGGCTCCCATCGTCCGATGGCAAACAGGGAACCAGGGGTGGGTGGCAGGGGATGCGTAGGTGGTGGGATGTGGGCGCCTGTCCCACCAGTCACCCCACACACAGAGAAGCCCCTGCCCCACACATGGAGGGCAACCTGCAGCAGGGGCAGGGCTGGCGAGCCGGTAGGCTCTGATTGCCTGATGGCAAATGGGGAACTGGGGGTGGGTGGCAGCGGGGTCAGAGCCGGCTGTGGGCAGCTGAGAAAGATGGCCCTGATGACAGGCCAGGCCTAGGGACTGTACCCACGCACAAATTTTGTGTGCTGGGCCTCTAGTAAGAATATAATCAGCAAGGTTGAAGGGTGCCCTGTGCACTTGCAGAGAGTGATCCCAGTGGAGTTGGACCCATCAAGACCTTTTTGCAGCCCTGGTTGGTTTGGCTCAGTGGGTAGAGACTCAGTTTGCAGACTGAGAGTCCCAGGTTCAATTCTGGTCAAGGGCACATGCCTGGGTTGTGGGCTCGATCCCCAGTAGGGGCATGCAGGAGGCAGCCAATCAATGATTCTTTCTCATCATTGATGTTTCTATCTTTCCCTCTCTCTCTAAAATCAATAAAAAATATATTTAAAGAAAGACTTCTTTGCATATCTTCACTCAGATGATTGAGATCATAATATATGTCCCTGGGGACAGATGCTTTTTAACAGAGTTTATTGGCAATTATTTTATTAGCAATTAAAAAAATACAAGTATTATACCCACTAATGATTTCAGGGATAGCTAATGTGATAGAATGTTCCAAGGTATTTTAAAAAGAATAAGGTTGGACTGCTAGTGGTAGGAAAGCTTCCATGAATTAAATAAGTGCATTCCAAATAAGTAATAAAGTAATGATTCAGAGAGGAACAATAAAATTTATCTCTGATTAAAATTTTTACTTCCTTATTTTTATTTATGTGCATATGTTTTATTTGTTGATTCTTCCACCTCCATAAAACAGCCAGAATAACAAGATCAAGTGCTCCATAAAATAAAGTTTTCAATAGAGATAGTTATAAGTTTTAATTGTAAAAAAAAATCAAGAAATTATGGAAAACTATAAAAGAAGACAAAATTACCTATAATCTCATCATTCAAAAAGTATGATTGCTAAGTGAAATAATTCAAGCATAGAAAGACAAATACTATATGGTTTCATTTACATGTGGAATCTAAAAAAATAAAACAAACAAAACAAAAACAGACTTATGGAAATAGAGACCAAAGGGATGGTAACCAGATGGGAGGGGTTGGGGGATGAGTGAATACAGTCAATAATATTGTGATACATTTACATGATGACAGATGATTACTATAATTAGTGGGGTGATCACACTGTAAGGTATAAAAATATTGAACCAGTACATTGTACACCTGAAACTAATATTACCAATATAAGATTGTATACCAATTATACTTAAATTAAAAAATAAATTAAGAAAATATGACTGTAGAGCACTTTACACACACACACACGCACACAAACACACACACACACTTTTTTAAATGCTCAAAAATAAAATCATTCTACACCTCTAGTTTTCAACTTTTCCATTTAGTGAAATTCAGTGACAGCTTTCTATATCAATAGATATAGAGCTATTCATTAAAGTGACTACATAGTACTCATCTGTATACTTAACTAATCAGCTATTAATTCACATTTAGATAGCTTCCAGTTTTGCTACTATAAACCTCACTGCAATAACCAATCTTATCAGACACATCTTTGTGTACTTGTCTTATTATTCCTTAGGGTTCATTCCTAGAGGTGGAATCTGTGCATCAAAGGACAAGGCTTTGGTTATGCATTGCCAAATTGCTCTCCAGGAAAACTGTAACTATTTGTCAATGTCCATTTTCCTTCACTTGCCTGGAGATGATCAATCTTTGCCAATATGATAAATAAAAAATGATATTCTATGGGTTCAGTCTCACAGCTGCCAAAAAGATGCCAAATAAAATAACACCTCCTCACTTTTCATGTATAGTGAGATTTTATGTCTTCTTTTGTGAATTGCCTTACTCATGCCTTTTGTCAATTTTTCTATTTGGGTATTTCTTTCTTATTTATTGTAAGAGCACTTTACATATTAAGGATGCTCTCTTTTCAACTGCTGTCTATGTAAAAATATTTTGTGCAGATTTTCATTTGTCCTTTAATTGTTTCTGGCTTTCTCTCTTTTTTTTCCCAATGCAAAAGTTTTACATTTTTACATATTAAAGCAGTTAACCTTTTTCTTATAATTTTGGTCTTCAGGGTCATTTTAGAAAGGCAGCACATTCATCTACATTTTATCTTTACAGTCATTTTGAGATACACTACAGTTACAACTTTCTTTTACCTCCAAATCACGTTTCCTTTTACTTTCCAGAGGTTCTGGAATACAAGCGGAAGGGACCTTGGAAACCAGAGCAGAGGAAACATGACTATTAATAGTAACACTTGACATTTCTATTTTGAGTGTGCTGTAGGATCATTAATTGGTCTCCCTCTTAGATTAGCCCCAAGGGTCACCGTGACTACTCATTCACCCTTCAGGACACTGAGGCACAGGACAGGGAAAGCTGCAAATTCCATTTGGTGGGCAGCACTCTACATGGCCAGGAGATAAATTCAGGTTCCCCATCTGTGCTTAAGGCAATTTCCTCCACATAGGCTGGCAGATTCCCAGGATGCCTTCAGACCATCAGGAGGAGTTCTCTGGGTGAAATGCCACTGCTGTCCGCCCTCCTCCCAGAAAAGGGAAATCAAATATAGGATGATTTTTAGCCTAGGCCAGTGGTTGGCAAACTGCGGCCCCTTGAGTGTGGCTCTTCCACAAAATACCATGTGTGGGCGCGCACGTGCAGTGTGATTGAAACTTCATGGCCACACTCAAGGGGCCAAAGAGCCGCATGTGGCTCACGAGCCGCAGTTTGCCGACCACTGGCCTAGGACATTCTGACTGTCTTGGACCACAAAAGGAAATGTACTACTTTTTAGTTCACTATTACTTGTGACAATTAGCATGCCTACTGCAAGAGCTAGGGGGAATAAAGAAAAAGGAAGAAATTAGTGGATCTAAAATGCTTTCTAACTTGGTAAATGATGTGCCTCCAAGGCTGCCTCCCGTGAAACTCATTTATATCACAAAAGTCGATTGGGCTTCCCTTGCATGCAGGCATTGGGCTTGGGGCTGGGGAAACAATGGTGCACAAGATTTCATCAGGAAAGGGCAAATCTGTGGAGGTAAGACAGATGAAGGCAATACGCAAATTTCTCAAAAAAGGTAGAGTGGGAAGAAAGCCAGTAGAGCCGGATTCAGAAAAGATAAGGACCTATAGCAGGGCTTTTTACATTATCTTTGGAGAAGGACTAGGGATTCCCCCCACCAATATGTCACAGACAATACTTTTGTAATAAATACAACAAAAATGGACTAACAAATTAACAAAGACATTCAAAATATAAACTCTGTTTTTATTATTAGAATCAGCAGACAAAATTTGAATTGCTTAAAAATTTCTATTATTCTAGTTTCTGTACTTATCTCATTGCAGACCAGTACTAGTCTGCCTATTGGTAGGGGGCTACAATGCTTGGATTTTATCTATGCTGAGCCAGAGCATTCTGGAAAGGAGGTGGAGTTGGCAGTGTCAAATGCTGCCAAGGTGTTAAGTAAAATGAAGTC